GATCATGAAACTCTGCGGCAACGGCTTCTCTGCAACGGCTGTCAACTACCCTCGCTGTTTATGCGGTGTGACACACCAGCACACCACTGCACGCCAGCAACGATGATGCGTAGCGAGATGCAGTGATGCGGTGAGCCGATATCCACTTTGCAAGGTACAGGTCGGGAACGCTTCCCAGTGCAGACATGAACATGGAGAGCACGACCCACTTGGGCGCCCATGGTGGCGATTGGATGGAAGCGTGCCCGAGCCCATGTGTTCGGATCCGCGGGAAGCCACGCATGGACTCCACACCCTGTGCTTGGCAGCAGTGCAGGCTGGGTGTCAAGCCACCAAAATTTCTGCTGGCCTCGGTCCTACGGCGCTTTTGGGAGACCCATGGGCGGGCAGCTGCCGGTCAGTAGTGCCGGAGACATGGCAATGGCAGAGCGCACGACATGGTGATGTTGCGCGTCGTAGCCGAGGATCCGTGGGCTGTTGCTCCTTAGTCGGCTCAAGTGTAGTTGTATTTGGCATTCGACGTTTCAGCGCTGCGACTCATCTGCCCATCCAGGGAAACTCTAGCAATCTTTGTAGCGTATGTGGGGCAACCCTGCTGTCATCTTGTCTTCGTCTCGCGCAAACGCGCATCACACGGGCTGCAGACGGCTGCGGTCATCGGAAGTCGGGAAAGCTCGGGAGAATTGCATTGCCAGGATCGGTCCCAATCAGACGTTCGGAGAAGCTGAAGCGAGAGGCCAGACGAAAAAAAAAGACGACCCCGACGCTCTCACATCCCGCGACCCCAATGGAGGACTCGCGGAATGTTCCACTGCTCATTTCCCGTCTTCTGAGAAGCTTCCACGCCATCAGCAGATCCACCTCTTCACCGTCTGGTCGACACTAGCCTCTCCAGGGTCGTTCGCTAGCTGTACACGCCGTTGATAATGTGCCATCGTAGTTTCATTGGTGGCGCGGGTGGGTAGTTGAAAGCGGATTTGATCCAATTGTCCAAATGTGGGTCTTGCCGTGTCTCTGTTTCATTGTGTTTTATGCGATCGTGGGGGGACTCCAACACGGATGCGAAATTGTCCGAGTTCAGGCTTGGGGATAGCTGCACGGTGCGCAATGATGCCGTGAACCTATAGGTTGCCTTGACCTAGCGCAAAGGCCGCAGGATCGTGGCATGGTCGTCCCTAGCAATTCCCGCAAGATCGCGCTCTGCCGTTAGGCACAAGATCGAGGAGTCGGCCAACGCTACTGCTTTGGGACGCCCTTTTGCGCTTCCGTTTTTAGGTGCAGCCAAGTACTCTACAGGCTTATTGTTGCTGTGCGGCATGGTGCCGCGTGTCATGGTGGGTTGTAGCTTGCCGTCAAGTTTGTGAAGAACATGTTGTTTCATGTGGCGCGGTTGTTTGAGGCGATGTTTAGAATTCGAGGCTCTATGAATGATTGCGAATCCGACATCTTGGCCAACGGTCTGCAGCCACAAAGGATTTGTGAACATGCTTGGACGAGCCGGGTCACCCCTCAATGCTCAACCTTCATGTTTGATTGGTATGGCTGGTACATGATGTGCTGGCCTTGCTCATTCATCATCTGAGATTGGCCATGTTGCGCATGCATCATGGGCATTTCGCCGCCATGGCTGACCTGTGGGGGGTAGCCTTGCTGAGGCCCTACAGCATATGAACCATAAGGTGCCGAAGTGTGATGCTGCTGGTGTTGAGCAGGAGCCTGGCCCTGAACCGATTGGTGATGCATCGGCACACTCATGTGTCGCTGGTACTCTGAAGTATGCGGAGAAGGGTGTGAGGTGGGCGTACCGTATCCCGACATCGGCATAGGTTGTGACGTGACCATGGAGGCGTTCTCAAGAGGATACGACATGGCCCGGGCGTTGCTCTCCATGACATATGGGCTCGGGTAGGACATGCTCGGCTGCTCGACTGCATGAACCGATGGATCCTGCACTGGCATCGAAACCTGGTGGTGTTGCTGCGGTTGCTGCGGCTGCGGCTGCTGCTGCTGCTGTGGGTGGCCAGGATGAGGGCTCCAGCGAACAGCCTCGTGTGGAGGCGCTTGAACTTCGCCCATGGCTGGTGGCGTGTCGACATGTGGTGAGGAGACATGCTGAGCATATGTGTGCTGTGGCTGCCAGTGCGCTGGTTGCGAGACGGGCGTCGCAATCTCTGGTACAGAATGTGCGCTCCTTGCAGTCCCAGTTGACATCCTCCGGGGCTGGCTGAGCATCTGAACGCGGTCGCTGGGCGAGGGTGCCCCTGGTTGGTGTTAGTGAATATGCACTGCCATCACATTGAATTTCAGACATGAAGTTGGCGTTATCGCCTCGCTTGGGCAGCAAAAGGAAGCGAAATGTTACAGATGCTGTACGTCGCTAAAGGGAGTGGGCCAACCAAATCATGGGAACCGAGACAGTGGGAAAAGAAATGTGTGATCATGCTGCGAGGACGACGGTGGCTGCATTCGAACGGCTGCGGCCCGAGACACCAAAAAAAGCAACTGAAGCGGCTCGACCACTTCACTGGTGGAACAACTGGACAGTGCTCTTGGGGGTGGAGAGGGAGAGAAAGGGAGAAATAAAGTTCATTACATACCGGCACCTTGTTCTGGGACACCAAGAGTAGAGACTGCGTGCGACAAGCGTGCGCGTAGCATGCCATTTTCTTGCTCGAGCTCCTCGTTTCTTCGGATAAGATCCATCATCTTGGTTGAAGAGTTGTTCTCAAGCTGGGCTGTGAGGTCACGAACTTGGCGCTCGAGAGTGTCAATGTGGTCTTTTGTTCTCTGGCGAATGGCTCGTTGTGCTTCTCGGTCGTTTGCCCTCTTCCGCTCCAGCTGAGCAGCAGTGAGCGTCGTGACGCTGCGTGTTCCAGCCCTCGATGGACGCTTCTTCGCGCCGGGGGTAAGTTGCCTGGCCTCGGAGCCAGACGAGTGGCCCTCATAGGGCGGGGATCGCTTCTGTTGATCCATGTGAGGTGAGTGGTAGCTGGAGGTACTCATGTGATCACTCCTGTAGGCGATGGGGTCTCGGTAGTGAAGGATTGAAGTCATCGAGGATCCGCGGGAGGCGGTGAAAGTATATGCGATGTCGAGGTTGCTGTGTCAGCGGAGTCCCAAACAAAACGCGGCCCAAGCGTTGTGTGAATATATCAGGTTGTGCCGGCTGTGAGTGATGAGCTGTTCCCGGACCTCGAAGAAGAGGGGGAAGCAATGGAGACAAGAGGAGTGTGTTGTGGGGAGTGAGCCGGGTAGGGTATTAAGAGGACGGGAAAATAAAAGCCAGTCAAGAGGAGGATAATTTTTTTCTTAGCAAAGAGGACGAGGCGGCGAGGCCGAATGGGCGAGACGGAATTGTAGAGAGACACGACTGAGAGCGATGCAAGACATGGCTGGCATGCGCCTATAACTTGCTATCAGGGCCTGATGAGTAGCGGCGGCCTTTGCGTACCATGCTTCGACCCTAGACTAGCGTTGGCTCGCTGATCCTGGCTCTGGGTGGATAGCCACACAACGTGGGCTCTGGGGAAATCGTTTCACTTTAGCTCGTACATTAGTGACTTCCAGGCTTGAGCGAGGCACAGCGGTGCGCCCAGCTTGTGGCCAGTCGCTTAGGACAGTCAAAGGGCCTCCATAGTCAATAAAGTCTCAACGGTGGTGGCACCTGGGCGATTGAAGCCTCGCCCAACGTGCATGTGCATAGCGACAGCTGGCTGTTCTGGAAAAGCGCTACGACGTGCTTTGGGCCGGGATATTGCACACCCCCACCAAGGGTGGCATGGCCGAGTTCCTGCGCGACACACGTCCTCGGTCTACCTTGGGTCGGCACAGCGAAGCAGCACGACGGGACCCACCAGGACAGGTTCAGATGGGCACGCATAAGACGGAAGAGCGAGGGCTGTGATGTCGCCATGACCGCTTGCCAGTCAGGTAGCTGGTCGTGTTTGCGGACCGTAGCGAGGTTTGGGATGACAGACCAGACACGGACAAATTGTGACGTTTGAAGAGCGCATGGCGTGGGCTCCTGCGGCGGCGACGTGAAGCGATACCAGGATGCAAGGGTGCCACCGCCCGGCCAGGACGGCCAGGAGAGGACGCGCACGTGGAAGCCCTGCATGCAGAAAAATTAGCCCGAGAGCGCCAAGCCGCCTGATACCCTGTCGCTGGCTGCTTCAGAGTCGGAGCGCCGGTCAAAGGCCCATGGATGCAGAGTAGAGGGTGTCGAGCGTCTCGCAATTGCGCGCACCCTCGAAGGGGGGCCCGCTGTGGATCTCCCAGGGCAGCATCAGCACCAGGCAAGCAGACAGGCAGGCTGGTAGACAGGCCCTGCCCGCCAGAATGACCTGTAGGGGGAGCCTAAACCTTGCCCGCCCTCGTCTTCGCGTCGATCATGCCCGGGGTCAGGGCCTTTCTGCTAGACCGTCCTCTTGCTCCGCAGGAGGGCACCAAGCGCGCTGGCCCAGGATGCTTCCGAAGTACCTCCACGGGCCATGTCTACCTGCAGTGATATCTCGCGTTGGAGCACCTTTGCCGAACTGCTACGGCTGCCACTACTGCTGCTAATCCTGTGTGCTGGCTACCACCTGTTGTTGCTGTAGGATTTGGGCGGGGGGGCGTGCGTCTCCCTTCCCCCCTCACTCCGACCCCCTCCACTCGCAAACTTTATCGTGGCCTCATCGCCATCCAGGTGTGTTTCATGCCGTGTGCTGGCCATGCATGATGACTGCTAAACAGCTGCTCTGTCTAAATCGGGTGTGCTGCAGGGTGGGACGATTTCATGACTGATCCGTCAGTCATTCGCAGGGCTTTCAATGCCGGGGGGGCTCTATGTAGGGAGACGCATGGGCCCCAGTAGAACAAGACGGAGAGGGATACACTACACAGATGCAGCGAGAGGGACGGAGACGGAGAGTGTCCGTGATGCGCTCCTCGTCAGGGCCCTTGTACGTCGACATGGTTAAAGTGGCCATGTTCGGAAGACTTGTGGTTGATGCTTAAGCGTCCCTCTTTTCTCTCTCTTTTGTTTTTGCCTACTTTTATCCTTCACCGCAACAGGGTTTTTTTTGCTCAGGTCACGAGTACCAATCCAATGATGATCCGCCCAAGCTTATGCCGTCATTTGGGGGCAGCCCACACAGTGATGTGCAGTGAGGACACCTCAACGATAGCCAAAGCAGTGCGCTATCCACGGCCTCCCCCCCCCCCGTTATTCGATAAAGCAAGAATCCTCCGAGACGCCCCTCACCGCTCTATAGACGACACAGCTGCACAGGGTGAGGCTATGTGGCTAGTAACCAAATAGGGACAGCTAGCGCTGGTACCTGGACATCTGTCCCAGCCACTCGAGATGAGCTTGGCGCCGATATTGGACGATAGCGACTGTCGGTAAGTTTCTCGAGTGATGGAAAATAATGATGCACGTCGGCTGCGCTAGGCTTAGAAGCCGCCAGCCGCGAGCCGCGAGCAGAGAATTGACCGGCGGTGCAGGCGATGAGGCGCGGCGACGGTATGATGGATGCGAGCGCAGCAGAGAGAGGTGCTGGCAAGATGAATTTGTCTATGTCTGTGTACGTGGTTTTGTGGAGGTTGGATGTGCGTACAGTGCGCGTGTTTGTGTGTGTGTAGTATGTGCGCATGCGTGGATAGGCCGACGGGCGGGTAGTGTGGAGGGGCGAGAGTGGGGGCAAGAAAGGAAGGGACAGCGCCGCACCAAGCTGCAGCAATCATCTAATTGAGCCTAGTAGGAGCGTTATTTGACATCAAGAGGACCATTGTCTTCTATCTGAGACGGGAACGTCTTGTTTTGTCGAGCAAAGCGCTTCGTTTGCAATTTGCCTAGCAGCAGCAGCGGCGGCGGCGTAGAGGGTAGGGCATGGAGCGTGCACGTTTCCTGGCAGTCACCGCAGTTAGCCTCATTGCCTCTGTTCATGCTCGCCGTTCAGTTGCTGTTTTCGCCTCTGTTGCGTTTAGTGCGTCAATACGCCGTGGCGGCAGGAATCATGCAATATGGAACCATTTTCCTTACCCAGAACAGAGACAGGGCCCTTTGGTGTGCGCCGCGGAGAAGCCACGCCCACTGCCGTTGACACCGAAGCTGTCGCTGAAACCACGTCCAACTGCCCGAACGTGCATCACGACGGCAGCCACGGCAGGCCAAGGAAGCCCACCAGTCAGTCGTCAAACCGCCAGCCGGGCAATCAATCGCATCAGTCAGCAATCAGTCAGTCCAATGAGTCGGACACGCCCGCTTTGGAGTTGGAGCAGCCCCGTGGAGGCAGAAGCTGTCGTCGGTCTGTATAGGCATAATAGACGTACGTATGTATGTACGTACGTATGGGTAGGGTAATATTACATACAGACACATCCGTGCAGACTCCCGTGGCCCGGCGCGGCAGATCTATGGGAGTAGTTTGGTTCGACTACTACCCATCATCTCACCCACGCTCGTCCGTCTGGTTGCCTCCGGTTGCCTCTAGCTGCTGCAACTGGGCCAGGTACCCACGACTATACCAAGCGTTGGGGCGTGTGATGGCTGCACATCACCGCGACGCCTCTACTTAGGCAGGCCGAGGGGCGGGCTGTGGACGGTGCCAGGTCCAAGTCGCGTCTTACATACATTAACATTCGATACGCAACTAAGTACGTAAGTAGGCAAAAATACATAGCTGTGTAGTATTACTTACATGGCAGGGTCAAGTCCAGCCATCCATGTCGAATGCGACGTACGACACACTGTCCCGTCGGCGATTGCGCAACCAGACTTGCATTGCCTGGGTGGACCAGCGCGCTCAGCTTGGTTGCAGAATGGGAATGTAAACATGGCCCGTCGATCCAAAAGTGTAATGCACGCCGCCGAACACCCCAAAAGGGTCATCTTGTCCCCCTCGCGCCGCCCCAAGTATCGCTACCAAACTCTGGACGCCTGGTTCCGCCTCGATGCCGGAGTTGAGCCGATTTTCAGCCAGGAGCCAGGAGCCAGGAGCCAGGAGCCAGGAGCCAGGCGCAGACGCCCACTACGTACTACGCGAGAACGACGGCTGCTAGACACGAACTCAATCCACGGGCTATGGCGGCCTTGCAGTGTCTAGTGGCCCTGACTTGGGTGCCGGCCACGAGGCTCTCCCTCTCTGAAACAGGCTTGTAGAATTTAGACTTGTGCGGGGCCCGCATCCTGGCATCCTGGCATCCTGGCGTGCCCGACGACGGAGTGGCGGTGGTGGTGGTAGTGGTGGGTGTGAGTGTGGGTGTGTGTGTGTGTCCCACCTGGCCTCTCCCACGGCTGCACCGCTGCTGCGCTGCTGATTGCTAGCTGGCTCCTTCCCATCCACTGCCCACCGCCCACCGCCCACCGCCCGCTGCCCCTCTCCCCCTCGCTAATGCCGTCCCTCCGCTCCTTTCCTTACCGATCACGCTTACCGACACCTCGCGCCAAGGCAACAAAGCTTGCGCCATCAGCTCTCTCCGAACCTTCTAGCTTGCAGGCTAGAAGGCTACTCTACAATGGCGCAACCATGGTTCCTCTGCAGCGCAAGAGTCCGCCGCCCGTCTGGCAATTAGATTTCTCTTTCGCTTTCAATGCCCACCGCTCATCGGCAGCCCTGCCCGCACCAGCTCTGCCCCCAGCTGCACCCCATGTCTTGTCAGCACTCTACACTTGAATCAACCATAAACATCATGCATCACCGACGTAATTGCGGGGTACGTTGTACTCACACACTGCTTCTGTCCCTGGTGGCGTCTCAAACCCTGCATCAAGGGGTGTGAGAGGGCAGGGGCATGCCTAGCCATGCGCGTCTGGGTGTAGTACACATTCGCTTGCCTTCTACCCTTTCAGCTGACCTGCATCTGTCCTTTCCATTACTGGCCCAGTATCACTCGGGCTGCGGTCAACCAGGTGTTTGCTCAACCTCGGATTCAACATTGCGACCATCCCGCGCCAGAATTAACGGGAGAACCGCTACTAACACTACCCTAACATGGCGCCATGCTCCGGGTCTAAATGACGTTGAGAGGAACATCTGTATCCACACGGGGCTCCATAGGGCTTCACGGAAGTAAAAAAAATCAGCGCGTCTTTCAGCTTGCCGCACGTGGTATGAATGTGGACAAGGCAAAAAGCCACTGGAAAATCAGTCCATGTCTGCCATGGCAGAGAGTGAGAAAAAACAAAAAATAGCACCTCTAACGCTAGAAACGTGCTAGAAGCGCCTAATGCATTTCAGCTTCTAGTATATGATTTGATGGCGTTTCCAGCCGACCAGACTGAAGCAAGCCACTGCCGCCGCCGCTTACTACTCCTTTTTGACGTACTTGTCAAAGATTTTCGAGATCTCGCGCGCACTCTTCTTGGGGTATCGCTTCTGTCCGCCCTTGTAGTCAACATAGGTCACGCCGAAACGCGTCGTATAGCCCTCGGCCCACTCGAAATTGCTACAAAAACTCATGTCAGCATACATAGTCGTAATCTTATTGCTTCCAAGTCGCCGAACACCAGGTTTGGTTCAGTTTGAAGCTAGGAGAAAAAGTTCGGTCTGCCAGAGCTTCTCCGGCCATCCGCTTACAGCCCATCACCCCCGTCGAAAAGCGGGTCGTCCAGGTATAGGGATAGTATACGCGCAGCAAAAAAGAAACAAGAAGGAAGGGGGGTAAGAATAAGTGGATCAACGTACTCCATCAGACTCCATGCAGAGTAACCCCTGACGTCTACCCCATCCAAGGTATGGGCATCGGCCAGCGCACCAATGTAACCCCTAAAATATTCACACCGAAACTCATCGTCGAGTAGCTGCTCCAGAGGTAGATCATTCTCGCCCTTGAGACTGGTGCCGTTTTCTGTCACATAGAATGTTGGGCCTTCGTACCGGTCACTAAGCCACTTGATCAGTTTCCTGAAGCCCAACGGCATCGGCCGTAGCCACACGGATTGCGTCTCTGGGCCAATCCACTCGCCTTTCTTATTCTGATGCAGAATATCAAGGTTTCCGACGTGGTCATCCACCTCCGGCTCAGTATCCCGGTGCCTAATATAATGGGCACAGTAATGATTCATGCCATAGAAATCATTGCTGCCTTTGACCAGGGCCGCTTCCTCCGGCGTGAATTCTGGCAATCGATCGCCCAATTGCTTACGCATCGAGTCTGGGTACTTGCCAAAGTAGACTGGGTCTCCAAACCAGCAGATGGCAAATTCAATCTTCCGGTCGCACGCTTCGCGGTCCTTTGGATCTTCGGGATCCCACGGCTCCGTCCAATCCCCTATATGGACATGTATCAGCATACCAATATATTCATGCGGAGTCTCTCAACGCCCATTCTGACATGATTTCCCCACCACCGCGTACATGTATGCGCAGACTGCGTACGTGCACGCGAGTAGAGTTTCTGTTTCTGTCTACACGGAATCTGGACGCGAGGTGATCGCTTACCATTTAGAGTAATCCCAATCTGGCCTCCATTCTGTGCCTTAAAGTCGTCACGGTAAGCCTTGACTGCCGCACCATGAGCAATGAGGAGGGAGTGTCCGACAATCCATGGCTCCCTCGCGCTGTCTCCTTCAGCGCTCTTGGTTCGATCGCTGCAACGACCGGGAGCAAACAGCCCAGTGCCATAGCCAAGAACCGAGCTGCACCATGGCTCGTTGAAGGTGATCCAATATTTTACTTTGGACCCAAATGCCTTGAAACACACCCTGGCATAGTTCTCATAATCCTTTACGAATTCGTCCTTGTTTAGCATGCCCCCATATCGCTTGTGTAGCTCATCGGGCAAATCCCAATGAAACAGGGTTATCATGGGCTCGATGCCGGCAGCACGGAGCCCATCGACCAGCTTGATGTAGTATTGCAGACCCTTTTCGTTTATTGGGTCATTGCGTCCACCAAGCGGAATGATGCGGGACCATGAGAGGGAAAAGCGGTAAGACTTTGCGCCAAGTTCCTTCAACAGTGCAATGTCCTCATCAGCACGGTGGTAGGAATCACAGGCCACATCGCCCGAATCTCCTCCAGCAATCTTGCCCGGGATGCGGCAAAACGAGTCCCAGATGGAATCGGCACGACCGTCTTCATGCGGTGCGCCTTCGATTTGGTAACTGCAGATTCCAAAACTCAGCATGTGACAATCAAGTGGCCCTTCCTTGTTGGCGGGGTACTTTTGAGTGGAGAAGGCCTGGCTAAAACGAACCTCGCTGTTGCAAACCCCCAAAGGAAATCCTTTGGCAAGTATGATTGCGACATGATGACCTGTGGTACGTCTGATCTCTTCAAGTATGTTCTATGCTGAATGGTCTAATAGAGGAAAAGGAAGAAAGAGATGACAAAAGTCTTAACCTCGTAGCAGCGGGACGGCTATTACTTCTTCATATACGTGGAGCCGGACTGCAGCGTTGGCTGCGGAGGACGTCCCGCTGCAACCGTCATTCACCCAGTGACAAGAGCTTAACAAGAGGCGCAGTAGGACAGATGAGGATCTTGGTATGGTCTTGTTCCACTTTGGTAGGCTATGTTCAATTTCTCCGTCTTCTCAATGGCTCATTCAGTCCAGCGACCCCGCTTGGACGGGTCACCGACGGAAGGTTATAGCTTCATCCCACATGACGAAGCTGTACCTTTGTGTCCATTCTGCCCGTCAGGATTCACAGCGGCTAGGGCGGTCAGTGGGATTGCGGGCCGGACATTCAGCCTACCTATTATCCTACCACAAGTGGCGCAGCGAACGTGACTTGGAAGGAAGTGATGTTTGAGAATGTGGCATGGCGGGGTACTGGGCAGCTCCAGGCGGATCTCTTTCCCTCACTCTCTCCTCGTATCATCCGCCCTCTACCCCAGGGTATAACACCGATGAGTG